TGTGCTGTGTCTCAAAGTTGACAGGCCTTCCGTTCCCTCCTGGAGGAAGAAGTGGCGGTTTAAGACCGGCTTTCTTGTGAGGATCGCTTGTCGTCCTTGATTCCCTGGGCCTTTCTCAGGAGCTTGACCACTGTCACCGCTGGGTAAATATACTATTATCACTGACTTTTGTTATCACCACTGGATTTTCATATTTTTACATTGAGCACTACCCTCATATTATATACTGTCATTGAATATTGTACTACCACTCTATTGTGTACTGCCATGGTAATAATTGCTGTGCAGTAATTTGTGTTGATTTGTAAACCTAGCGAATTTGTCATACATTTATTGATTGTATACCATTTGTCGTTTGTTTGTTGGTTTCACACTAAGTTCTTTTATGTACATATTTCTGGATTAACATATTGTGTCAATGTGGGAATCGACACGTAGCAGTATATTCGTGTACGTTTGAAGGCATTGCTGATAATAATGTTTCCCTTTTCATCCCGTTCTACAAAAGGAAAAGTTTGAAATAGATAATGATCTTAGATAAATGACACAAATCGAATTATTTATCATAAATTGGTAAAGCCGAATAGTGCATTGAACTACGAAAATAAAACTAGCAAAATCGATTAAAAAAATGTTTTTGAGTAACCATGTCTTGCTTTTTCTTATTTTTAGATTATGTTTTGGCCTAGCTTAACTAAAACATGGAGGGAACATTTATGATTTAAGATTGTGAAAAAAGCCATCGAAATAAACACAAGAATTCATTCACATTGATCTTAGACAAGATTTATTTTTTACAAATTCTATTTTACAATAGATGATGCCAAATATATATCTTAAATATGGCTAAATATGCATATGAATTGCATGGCAGGGGGCAAACAATTTGATAATTTATATAATGCAGGGTACAAAAACAAATAATGAATATTATTTAAACATCAAAACGAAACCACTTTCATAATTAAAAACATTTTGTCATTCAGAAATCAAGTATCAATATTGTGTATAGTTACTATTACGTACTATACTATTAATTGTGAACCATTCAAGATTTATATTTATATCTTGGACCAATTTTGACAGCCAAATTCTAACAGTGTTAGTCGAGTGATAAACGGTCTCATTTACTGGTCGGTCACTGTGGATATCTTTCCAATCGTGATGTTCTAGATCTACGTTCTAGGTCAGACCAGTTCAGTGAAGGAGAATATTAAGAATGGAAACTGATACCACGTGTGTCCATTACGCGACCACACCATTAGATCCACGTCACAATATCATTCGTGACCAACTCGTCCCATTCCGGGACAAGCCGAATGTTGACTCGTGCACCTCTCGAAGGTTTCGATATCTGCGTATGGACACGTGAACTACTTCAAACAAGAACGATAACTCTTATTCTACCCGCATCTTGTAGTAAAGTTAATGTAGACGTTACAGGAGAACTAGCTTATTCCACTTGTAAAAGTACTGAACCTCTGTTATATAGATATATTCTGTTGTACGAAAGTATATTTGGCAAACCATTTAACTCATTATTTCCCAACTGTTTATATTTTTAAATTAGATATTAAAATTAGATGAAGAAAACTGACAAGACGAAGGTGGTTTTCTAAACATACACCAACACCATAGTGAGACCATGTTAATATTCAAACCCCGAGGGGATTCCCAAGTAGACTATCCTTGGAGTTAGAGTTGGTCAGATGTGTGGTCAAATTGATTCCTCAATCAATATTTACAACTATGTGACGGTTATGAATACACAATGCCATTTAGAAAGTGGTCAAATGTAACAAATGTTATATTTGGGATAACACTTTATTTGGTATAACCACGAATCACGGACGGGACTCAACCCCCAAAACGTACGAGAATCTGTACTTTACTAAGAAGGTGTTATCCCAAATATAACATTTGTTACATTTGACCACTTTCTAAATGGCATTGTGTATTCATAACCGTCACATAGTTGTAAATATTGATTGAGGAATCAATTTGTTTCTGGTAACCTGTATTTGTTTTTGTTGTGTTACCTCTTGTAAATGTAATAATGGTATGTGACACTGGCCTGACATAACGCGGAGGTACGTGTATCTTAGAGAACCAGATAATCACCCAAATATATATCTATAGCAATTACATTCGTTTGAAATATATTACTACTGCCCTAATTTTGACATTTTGAATCCATCTACTTAAATCCAACCTTTCATATGATAATAAAGTGAAGTTAAACATCATTCTTACAGCACTAGTTATGGAAAAGTCTCTTTCTATGTCAGTGCTACCTGGTGGACATTTAATGTATTCCCCAGAGGAATGTTTGAAAAAGTCATATCAATAGATACATGTAGTTAATACAAGCTATTACTTGGTACACATCTCAAACCTCAGCTAAGCTGACATAGACTGTAATTGTGTTCTGTCCTAACAAATATAATGTATGATTGCACTGTGTAATCTATGCTCAGATAAAGTGAGTCTCATGGCATACAGTCATACAAGATGTAATAATGTAATGCTGTGTTTGTTTAATGATATTTGTGTAACTACATACCAGTAGTTTGACCTCACTACCTCACTGTGTTAGGAATACCATTATATCTCCACAATTCTTGCGTTGGGAACTTCATATCACCGATTGAACTACACACAGAGTAAATCACATGAACCCCTACAGGTATTCGTCATTCTGCCACCCTCGGGGCCGCCTACGTGGTCTAGTGGTAGAGCGTCCGCCCTTAGAACGGAAGGTCCGGGGTTCGTCAAACCAAAAGACGTTAAAAGATGTTACTTGTTGTTACCCTGTCTATACACAGGGGTATTACACGGAATGTCGGTTTGGAAAGCCAGGTGTAGTTACATAGCAGCAATGGAAGGAAGATGCAGTCAGGTGAGGCGTTACCTGTATGTGAACAATGGCACGTGTACATTTGAATGTATCATCCAACATAGTCCTACAAGTAACAACATCAATATGTATATTTCACATTGATATATAAGATCACATTTCTGTAATCCGTATGCTGCGGTGTGGAACTGACAATCTACATTTTTAAGCAGGCGCATATTGCAAAAATATATTTAAATATTCGGGATTATATTGATCGAAGTACCCATATCCCGACGCGCATTCTGATTGGCTTGCGCCGTTTCGAATCATGGCGGCCTTCGAGAAGGGAACAAGCCTTGTAGGTGACGGAAACATGCCAGTGTTGGAGAAGGGAACAAGCCTTGTAGGTGACGGAAACATGCCAGTGTTGGAGAAGGGAACAAGCCTTGTTGTAGGTGACGGAAACATGCCAGTGTTGGAGAAGGGATCAAGCCTTGTTGTAGGTGACGGAAACATGCCAGTGTGGGAGAAGGGAACAAGCCTTGTTGTAGGTGACGGAAACATGCCAGTGTTGGAGAAGGGATCAAGCCTTGTTGTAGGTGACGGAAACATGCCAGTGTTGGAGAAGGGATCAAGCCTTGTTGTAGGTGACGGAAACATGCCAGTGTGGGAGAAGGGATCAAGCCTTGTTGTAGGTGACGGAAACATGCCAGTGTTGGAGAAGGGAACAAGCCTTGTTGTAGGTGACGGAAACATGCCAGTGTGGGAGAAGGGATCAAGCCTTGTTGTAGGTGACGGAAACATGCCAGTGTTGGAGAAGGGAACAAGCCTTGTTGTAGGTGACGGAAACATGCCAGTGTTGGAGAAGGGATCAAGCCTTGTTGTAGGTGACGGAAACATGCCAGTGTTGGAGAAGGGAACAAGCCTTGTTGTAGGTGACGGAAACATGCCAGTGTGTGGGAGAAGGAGCTGTGAGGCCCATTGTTGAAGGGCGCGGTGGACCGTGTGTGGCTGGTTGACCGGGGTGGTTGACTGGTTGACTGGGGTGATTGACTGGTTGACTGGGGTGATTGACTGGTTGACAGGGAGCCACAGACTCTGCCAGGAACACCCGGCATCACAGGGACATTACTCCATACTCCATACAAAACATCTGGCAGTCTTTGTTCAAAACAGTTCGTGTTGCTTTTACTATGAAGAATAAGTGTTTCAATACAGCCAAGTGTACAAATGCTGAATATATTTCTGTGTGGCATTGTTTGTTTTGCTGTTGTAAGATCATATTGCAATATTATGCCATCGAATGAAACGTCTGGTTTTCATTAAAGTCATTATTATTACTATCATTAGCATTGTTGTAACAATCACGTTCTAATAGACACCGATATTATTCAGTTGCCAATGAAGGCCGACCATTTAATATTCTAGGCGCGAGGGAATACAGGTAAATCATTCACTTAACATGCTAGATGTTCTGTAAATAATGTGTTGTGGGCAAAAAACGTGTTTGTCTCCTTCTTTCAGAGAAAATATTGAACGTACTGACTGAACAAATATTCTGCGTCAAAATAAAATCTCCCGCGCCCCACGTTCAGCCGAGCATTATATAGCCGGCGCCGACATGGATGACAATGAGTGGTGGGCTGGCGGTTCTACGAGAAGTTACACCTTTGTGTAGTTCAGTGCGCTATCCACACCTCGTCTGTGCTACAGGCACCAAGGCCTCAGCATAGTATATAGAAAACAGTAGTAAGAACAAAAGTATTTACATGGACATCCTGTACAACAAACACACATAGTACCTCACATTATAAAGCTAACAGCGTATGAGTAGAGTGAAACACACACTCTACCACACATTATAAAAGTATCAGCTTAGTGGTAGAGATAAGTCCGTGGATATATGGCAAACAAGGCAAGATGCGATTGTTAACATTAAGTGATACTTAGCTGAAACAGCGATATGTGTAGTTACTTAAATCACCAAGTGTGTGTGCACAGGGTTCATCATTCACTGACCCGTGAAGATCCGGGGTAGAATAGGTCTTCAGCAACCCATGCTGGCCGAAAGAGGCGACTATGCTTTTCGTAAGAGGCGACTAACGGGATCGGGTGGTCAGGCTCGCTGACTTGGTTGATGCATGTCATCGTGTCCCAATTGAGTGGTCATGATGTCAATCACTGGATTGTCTGGTCCAGACTCGATTATTTACAGACCGCCGTCACATAGCTGGAATATTGAATCACAAACATATTTCGTCCAACCTTTTGATTATTTGATAACCTTCAACTGATTTCATTAAGATTTTAATGAATAAAAGAAAAGCGCTTTTTATAAAATTTCATACCGTAAGTAAATATTGAGATAATGATTCTGAAGAAAACAATATTCATTTTTTTCCAGAGTCATCACAATGTACCTATAGTTACAAAACCAACACAGTTGGACACACAGTCACGTGGTACAATAAATTATTGGGATCCGAGACTAATGCCGATCACACTCCGACAAAAACAATATCCAAGTTTCCGATCTCACAGACACGATTTCTAAAGCGATGTTTCTGGTTGTTATATTTATGCACTGTATACTGTATGTTAGTATCTCGTCCAACATGCTACAGTCAGGTGGAATATCAACGTCTTGCGGAATGCCAGGCGCTACGTCGCGGAAGCAGTAGCGCTGCATCTGGAGCTGAAGGGACATCACCCACTGATACATATCCCTGCTGAGACTGAAGCCTCTAATGGCTGCCTACATCTTTGGCGCACATCAGCAGCACCAGCAACCGTGAGACACAACTAAATACTCCATGTCCATGCACAAATAGTAATCTGAAGAAGTAGGAAGGATGACGGCCACATTCACCCTGCACCTGACCACACAGTCACTCCCACATGTAGACTCTAGTAATGGTATACTGACCGACAAACACATGGCCACGTATAAAGATCGTCGAGCCAGTCGACCAAATTGATATGTAGATAAGATATAAACATTCTGAAACAAACTCGGCGTTTCAAACACCGGCTGACAGAACACAAACTCCGTAGAGAGAAGCAGCACTGTTCAAGACCGTCTAGGCACCATCATGTCACCCAGGAGCAGGTAGACCAGCACATGGTAGGACACGATGCTGCTAACAAATGGGAACAATAAAGGTTTGACATAATACAAAAGTGAAATTCATTCGTCGGATTGTTCTGAAAATGAGGATGCTGAGGCGACTGTTTTCTGTCAGTGGATCACGCGGGCTTTTGGAAGGAATGTGCTGTCCCATGCAAACCCGCAGCACCAACAATGGTCGAGCATGCCTTCATTGTATTTACTTTATCCACTATTACTACATATAGCTGGTACAACATTGAACACTGTGAAAGAATGACTTGCTGGTTTGTTTCTCCACGACAATCGTTGGAATGTTGTCTTTATTGCTCTTCATCTAGCAGATATTTCGTTGTTTCAGTGGACCAATTGTTTGTTTGACATCCAGCCCATAGTTGTGATCTCATACATGTTTATCAGCTGATCAACTGGCGTGTCCAGGGATGTTTGTTCAATATGTTACAGGGTATAAAAAACTTGTGTAAAGAACACGTCCCCGACAATGTCATTAACAAGGACGACAATGTGCGCTTAAGTCCCTCGATCATGTGATTTGGGATCGGAGGGGCGTGGAGTTCATGTGACCTGCGTCATACAATGGACACAGCCACTGACTGCACGACCGTTAAGATCGACAATCACAGCCGCTTAATCCCCGTCTAACGTCAATCGGAAGCAACACGTTTATTCCATACTCTTATCAGAGCTCCGAAATCCATCAGCGACTCCGCGATTCCATCGCGCACAGTTCAGGTGATATCAATGGACCTACCCACTTGCTCTTGTCCCAGAACCTCACACACATCACCACCTTATCATGCCTCGACTTCGAACATGACGCACGGGTACATCCCCACATGGTAGCCGGTCAAACTGACCCAAACAGAGCATACACCTTTGTCAAGGTATTTCCAACAATCAGTGTTACAACCGAGTAGTCCTCATCTCCTCCGATCTCATGAATTCTGCATACGTTGGTGGAGGTTCGAGAGTAGATGTATCACTTCCGGTGCAGCTGCTGTCTTCTACCTGGTTGCCCAGGTTAGTCTGCGCCTGGCAATGGCGAGCTAAATACTCGTCACTGGTGACGATATCATACGGCGGCGGTTCATCGCTGTACAGTCGTGTTCTGAAACAAACAAAATTGAAATACAAATGGATTTCTCCATCTGGTGCCTGCTGTCGAGACCACACACAGCGCTACACCTTGTCCACCACCATCTACACCCAACCACGAACTCACTCCACACATAACGCTACAGCTTGTCCATCACCATGTACACCCAACCACGAACTCACTCCACACATAATGCTACACCTTGTCCATCACCATCTACACCCAACCATGAACTCACTCCACATATAACGCTACACCTTGTCCATCACCGTCTACACCCAACCGCGAACTCACTCCACACATAATGCTACACCTTGTCCATCACCATCTACACCCAACCATGAACTCACTCCACACATAATGCTACACCTTGTCCATCACCATCTACACCCAACCACGAACTAACTCCACATATAACGCTACACCTTGTCCATCACCATCTACACCCAACCGCGAACTCACTCCATACATAATGCTACACCTTGTCCACCTCCATGTACACCCAACCAAGAACTCACTCCATACATAATGCTACACCTTGTCCACCACCATGTACACCCAACCACGAACTCACTCCACACATAATGCTACACCTTGTCCACCACCATGTTCACCCAACCACGAACTCACTCCACACATAATGCTACACCTTGTCCATCATCATCTACACCAAACCACGAACTCACTCCACATATAACGCTACACCTTGTCCATCACCATCTACACCCAACCACGAACTCACTCCACACATAATGCTACACCTTGTCCATCACCATCTACACCCAACCACGAGCTCACTCCACACATAATGCTACACCTTGTCCATCACCATCTACACCCAACCACGAACTCACTCCATACATAATGCTACACCTTGTCCACCACCATGTACACCCAACCACGAACTCACTCCACACATAACGCTACACCTTGTCCATCACCATCTACACCCAACCGCGAACTCACTCCACACATAATGCTACACCTTGTCCACCACCATGTTCACCCAACCACGAACTCACTCCACATATAACGCTACACCTTGTCCATCACCGTCTACACCCAACCACGAACTCACTCCACACATAATGCTACACCTTGTCCATCACCATCTACACCCAACCACTAACTCACTCCACATATAACGCTACACCTTGTCCATCACCATCTACACCCAACCACGAACTCACTCCACACATAATGCTACACCTTGTCCATCACCATCTACACCCAACCAAGAACTCACTCCATACATAATGCTACACCTTGTCCACCACCATGTACACCCAACCACGAACTCACTCCACACATAATGCTACACCTTGTCCATCACCATCTACACCCAACCGCGAACTCACTCCACACATAATGCTACACCTTGTCCATCACCATCTACACCCAACCAAGAACTCACTCCATACATAATGCTACACCTTGTCCACCACCATCTACACCCAACCACGAACTCACTCCACACATAATGCTACACCTTGTCCATCACCATCTACACCCAACCAAGAACTCACTCCATACATAATGCTACACCTTGTCCATCACCTACATCCAACCACGAACTCACTCCACACATAATGCTACACCTTGTCCACCACCATCTACACTCAACCACGAACTCGATCCACAAACTTATTCCACACATAACGCTACACCTTGTCCACCACCATCTACACCCAACCAAGAACTCACTCCTTACATAATGCTACACCTTGTCCACCACCATGTACACCCAACCACGAACTCACTCCACACATAACGCTACACCTTGTCCATCACCATCTACACCCAACCGCGAACTCACTCCACACATAATGCTACACCTTGTCCATCACCATCTACACCCAACCAAGAACTCACTCCATACATAATGCTACACCTTGTCCACCACCATGTACACCCAACCACGAACTCACTCCACACATAATGCTACACCTTGTCCATCACCATCTACACCCAACCAAGAACTCGATCCATACATAATGCTACACCTTGTCCATCACCTACATCCAACCACGAAGTCACTCCACACATAATGCTACACCTTGTCAACCACCATCTACACTCAACCACGAACTCGATCCACAAACTTATTCCACACATAACGCTACACCTTGTCCACCACCATCTACACCCAACCAAGAACTCACTCCATACATAATGCTACACCTTGTCCACCACCATGTACACCCAACCACGAACTCACTCCACACATAACGCTACACCTTGTCAATCACCATCTACACCCAACCGCGAACTCACTCCACACATAATGCTACACCTTGTCCACCACCATGTACACCCAACCACGAACTCACTCCATACATAATGCTACACCTTGTCCACCACCATGTACACCCAACCACGAACTCACTCCACACATAATGCTACACCTTGTCCATCACCATCTACACCTAACCATGAACTCACTCCATACATAATGCTACACCTTGTCCATCACCTACATCCAACCACGAACTTACTCCACACATAATGCTACACCTTGTCCACCACCATCTACACTCAACCACGAACTCGATCCACAAACTTATTCCACACATAACGCTACACCTTGTCCACCACCATCTACACCCAACCAAGAACTCACTCCATACATAATGCTACACCTTGTCCACCACCATCTACACCCAACCACGAACTCGATCCACAAACTTATTCCACACATAACGCTACACCTTGTCCACCACCATCTACACCCAACCACGAACTCACTCCACACATAGCGCTACACCTTGTCCATCACCATCTACACCCAACCACGAACTCACTCCACACATAATGCTACACCTTGTCCATCACCATCTACACCCAACCATGAACTCACTCCACATATAACGCTACACCTTGTCCATCACCGTCTACACCCAACCGCGAACTCACTCCACACATAATGCTACACCTTGTCCATCACCATCTACACCCAACCATGAACTCACTCCATACATAATGCTACACCTTGTCCATCACCGTCTACACCCAACCATGAACTCACTCCACACATAATGCTACACCTTGTCCATCATCATCTACACCCAACCATGAACTCACTCCACATATAACGCTACACCTTGTCCATCACCATCTACACCCAACCACGAACTCACTCCACATATAACGCTACACCTTGTCCATCACCATCTACACCCAACCACGAACTCACTCCACACATAATGCTACACCTTGTCCATCACCATCTACACCCAACCACGAACTAACTCCATACATAATGCTACACCTTGTCCACCACCATGTACACCCAACCACGAACTCACTCCACACATAATGCTACACCTTGTCCATCACCATCTACACCCAACCACGAACTCACTCCACATATAACGCTACACCTTGTCCATCACCATCTACACCCAACCACGAACTCACTCCACACATAATGCTACACCTTGTCCATCATCATCTACACCCAACCATGAACTCACTCCACATATAACGCTACACCTTGTCCATCACCATCTACACCCAACCACGAACTCACTCCACATATAACGCTACACCTTGTCCATCACCATCTACACCCAACCACGAACTCACTCCACACATAACGCTACACCTTGTCCATCACCATCTACACCCAACCACGAACTCACTCCACACATAATGCTACACCTTGTCCATCACCATCTACACCCAACCAAGAACTCACTCCATACATAATGCTACACCTTGTCCACCACCATGTACACCCAACCACGAACTCACTCCACACATAATGCTACACCTTGTCCATCATCATCTACACCCAACCACGAACTCACTCCACACATAATGCTACACCTTGTCCATCACCATCTACATCCAACCACGAACTCACTCCACATATAACGCTACACCTTGTCCATCACCATCTACACCCAACCACGAACTCACTCCACACATAATGCTACACCTTGTCCATCACCATCTACACCCAACCACGAACTAACTCCATACATAATGCTACACCTTGTCCATCACCATCTACACCCAACCACGAACTCACTCCACATATAACGCTACACCTTGTCCATCACCATCTACACCCAACCAAGAACTCACTCCATACATAATGCTACACCTTGTCCACCACCATCTACACCCAACCACGAACTCGATCCACAAACTTATTCCACACATAACGCTACACCTTGTCCACCACCATCTACACCCAACCACGAACTCACTCCACACATAGCGCTACACCTTGTCCATCACCATCTACACCCAACCACGAACTCACTCCACACATAGCGCTACACCTTGTCCATCACCATCTACACCCAACCACGAACTCACTCCACACATAGCGCTACACCTTGTCCATCACCATCTACACCCAACCACGAACTCACTCCATGAACATACTCCACACATAGCGCTACACCTTGTCCATCACCTACATCCAACCACGAACTTACTCCCCACAAAACGCTACACACTGTCTACCACCATCTCCATCCACACACAACACCAGACGAGTTTGTGGTAATGTTCTTTATCATAATGGAGATATATACACATGCTCGTCGAGGATGGCTTCACGTAGAAGATTGATTTTACGTAACTAGCGAGGTGTTGCATTTATAATGATTTTCCGTTGAATTTTCTCCTTGCTCGCCATACATCATTTAAAAAAAGTACGTAAAATCCATCAAGTTTTGCTTCTGAACTGAAACGTTTCTTAGATGTAACTCCACAGAGAGTGAGAGGAACGTTTGTTTTTTTAATGTTGCTTCTGAGACAATTCAATTCTGAAGAATCAATTCACACTCAAATATAAACCAATTTCATTTGAAATCAAGGGAAAAGTTAGTCCTTCTATCTGCCATGGACACTATCCATAATGCTTTAGTTTCGCCATATTGATTTTTAGACAATACATTTTGCTAAACGTAGGGTATTTTTGAGCTAATTAAAGAGCCAATACCCTGTAATAGGTGTTATCAGCGCATTGTCCTCATACATGTGTGTTCCCGTTCAGG